TTTTAATGCATTCATTTTCTCAATTAAGGGGATGACAATTGTCTATACTGATCAAGAGATTTTTATAGTCCAATTCCTGTTTTTGAATTTTTCTACTGATAAAATAATTTTGTTTTATTTAAAGTTAAAAAGTAGCACTCACTCTTCCTCTCTTCCCCCTATGTAGTTATTTTTCTAAGATTTATTGTGCGCTGTGGTGGGCTTGTGGGGTCAGAGGATAACCTCAGGACTTGGCTCACTCCTTCTATCACGTGGGCCCTGGAGGTCTAACTCAGGTGGACAGCAGGTACCTTCACCAGCTGCGCCATCTAATTGGCCCTCATCAAATTCTTTCAGCTGGTGAAAGGCCAGGAAGCCATCTTTCCTTTGAAAACTCACTGTGCATGGTGTCAAGAGACTCAGATGTGGGGACTTTACATCCCCGGGCCCTGCCCTGAAATAACCTCAACCCACCTGTAGTCTCTGGCCCAAGCTGGCCCCAAATCCATGATCCTCCTGCCTCAACTTTAAGTGCTGGGATGGCAGGCATGCACTGCCATGCCTAGCCTCTCCCTGAGGCTGACACACTTCCAGACAACCCAGGCTCAATTGTTTAGTCCCCTTAACCCTCTCCTCCGTCCCCTGCTTCCATCACTTTCTCTCTCAGTGAGAACCACATCCTAGCCAGCCTACCTTTCCCCATCCTTAGGGATACCACCTTTACCCCTTAACCAATGGGTGCCTGGGATGTCTCCTATCCTAGTCCACTTATGCTCTGCAGCCAGGACTGTCCTCCCAGAGATGAGCATTTACCTGAGTCTAAAATGGACCAAGCCCTGGAAGGGGGAGGGGCACAGCCTGACCACTAGCTGAGAGCTACTGACAGTGAGGACTGCTGGGGGAAAAGAGTCAGTTTTCTTTATGGATGTGACCCCTGGAAGGTTGACACGCTCCAGTGGGTCATCCCATGTTGATGTACACATGGGCGGCACTAATTGGACCGAGTGGGTTAAAAAGGAGGTGTGACATTGGGAGGCTAGGGGTGTGTGGTGTGGTGGTTTGATAGAAAGTGGCCATCGCTGGGGTGGTGGTGGCGTACGCCTTTAATCCTAGCACTCGGGAGGCAGAGGCAGGTGGATCTCTGTGAGTTCGAGGTCAGTCTGGTCTACAGAGCGAGTTCCAGGACAGCCTCCAAAACAATACAGAGAAACCCTATCTCGAAAAACCAAAAAAAGAAAAAAAGAAAAGAAAAAGGAAATGGCCCTCAAAGAGAGTGGCACTATTATGAGGTATGGCCTTGGAGTGGGTGTGGTTTTGTTGGAGGAAGTGTGTCACTGTGGGGGAGATCTCATATATGTTCAAGCCACACCCAGTGAGATAGTTCACTTCCTGTTGCCTTTGGACCAAGATGTAGGACTCTAAGCTCCAGCATCACATCTGCCTGCAGGCCACCATGCCTCCTGCCCTGATGATAATGGACCGAACCTCTGAACTGTAAGGGAGCTGGTGCCCAATTAAATGCTTTCCTTCTAAGACTTGCCATGGTCATGGTGCCTCTTCATAGCAAATAGAAACCCTGACTAAGACAGGGCGAGTGGGTGGGATGGTCCTAAATATGAATGGAAGGATTTGAATGCACATGTGAGATGCTCAACTAAACTACAAATATATTTAGAATGTGTGCTGTGCTCATTCATGAATGTCCACTCCATCCCATGATACTCCTCGACTCCTGCGCAGCACTGTCCCCCACCCCAGTACCTTTTATACTGTGCCTTAAGTAAGAGTTGCTGCATTTATGTCTGTTACCCCGGGTGTTTCTTAGGGGAGAGAGCACCCGCCCCATTCCCATCCTCCTAAATGTTTTCCCTGTACCAAGCCAGGAAGCTGAATCAGGAAGCTGAATCAGGGGGACCTACTTCTTCTTCTTCTTGTGACTCGTTCAAGGGTCCGTTCCGAGTCTCCTGGAAGAGGATCTTCTTCATTTTTCTGTACTGCAGGTTGTCCAACTCTCGGACGGCATCTTTTGTCCTCTGTATGAGGTCAATGAGGACCCGTGGTGGCCGCTCCCTCCGAATGAAGTCATGCTGATGGACAGGGGAGGAAAACACTGATGGTGAGCAAGCCTTATATTCATGAGCAATGTACACATATAAGCAGGCAGGGAAGAGGGAACAGGCTCACGGTCCTTGAGGCTGGTGTCCCTCGTGGGTCCTCCCCTTAAAAAGAGGTAACAATGCTCCCACATTTTGTCCTGAGCTACCCTTCCTAGACTCTGCTCTAGAGTCTCCAAAAGAATAAAGAATTCTTTTTTGTTTGTTTTTGTTTTGCAAAGCAGGAAGTGCATGATTTTAATCCTAGCACACAGAAGGTAGAGGTAAGGGGGTCTCTGTCTCTGTGAGTTCGAGGCCAGCCTGGTCTACATAGTGAGTTCCAGGTCAATCAGGGCTACATCATGAGACCTTATCTAAAGGATTTCTCTTTTTAGTTATATATATTTATGGTATACAATGGGATGCTTTGGTATAAATTGAAGTAATAGAAGGCAGCTACTACACCATCATTTCCCATTCTTGTGTATGTAGCAAAGCTGCCTAAAAACCCATTGCCTTTAAAATTAGCACGACACCTATAGTTTTCAGGTCAGACTTTAGGTCTCAATACTCATTATAGAGGCAGAGGCAAAGGGGTCTCTGTCTCTGTGAGTTTAAGGCCAGCCTGGTCTATAGAGCGAGTCCATGACAACAACAAAATAATAACTTTATTGTTCTTTACAATGTTTAAAGATTCAAATAATATAGCAAAAGTGCTTAAAGAAAAATAAAGAAGCAAATTCCAATTTCCATCATCCAGAGGAAAATATTTTAAATTAAAGGATGATGTCAATTTAGGTCTTATCCCCCCCTCACCCCCCGCCCCCCATAACACAACCCAGAACAAAGACTTAAGAAAAAAAAAATGTCAAATGTGAACCGTATCATAAAGTATAATCTATAAAGCTGAAGATGCACTTGAATTTCACAGAATTAGAAGAGACTGAAATAAAATAATTGCTTCCTTTTAGTTACATTTTTCTCACTGCCTGCATTATCTATTCCTAAAACTTCCTTTAAAATTAAGAAGAGCCATGAATTTGAGAGAAAGTCCTTGGAAGGGGGATGAGGAGCACACGGGAGAGATACATGGGAAGGTTGGAAGGAGGGAAAGGAAGAGGGGAAATTATATAATGAAAATTAAATCTTAATTTCAAAAATTAAGAAAATATTAAACAACCTGAGTACAAATGTGATCCTCAATAACTAAATCAATTTAATTAGATTGAGGAGAGGGCTGGCGAGATGGATCAGGGGTAAAGGTGATCTCCACAGAGACTAATGATGAACTGAGTGTGACAGCTGGGACCCACACAGTGGAGGGAGAGCAGGGGAAGACGGGTGACGCGTGTACTGGGACACGCGTGCTCATGTGTACACGTATGTGTGCTCATGTGCACACGCTCCCTCTCAGAATAAATATGTCAGTGTAATAAAACATATCAAAAAATAAGAAGACACCCACCACACAAGGCTTACGAGAACGAGGTTACCTGTAGCAAAACCCTGTATTTTTATCTGAAAAATAGGAATATCAATACACTGATAATTTCCTGGCCCTAGTTTTCTCCGGTTGCCTTTGTTCTTTTTGTTTTGCCCATGTTTGTCACATCACATTGTGGGTTTTAAACATTTTTTACCTTAGCTCTATATTTAAATTTTTCAATGTAAAGGCGACATTTTAATGCCAGGAAGAAACTACGAGGAAAAGGAGGGTTACTGAAAAGTATTCAGGAGTGAGTAGATAGCCAGCTGGAGGAAAAAGTGTGACTCTTACCTCATGCCTTTTAGAAATTCATGCAAGGATCTTCCCAGCACAAAGGCCGCTGGGATAGCAATCCCCTGGCATTCTTACTTTTGCTCAATCAGAGGTCTTTTCTGGTTCCATATGAATTTTAGGATTTTTTCCCTATTTCTGTGGAGAATGTTTAGGTACTTTGACTGGGATTTATTTGAATCTATGTATTGTTTTGATATGATGGTCACTTCTATATTAATCATACCAACCCATGAATGTGGGCTGTCTTTCCATTTTCTAGTTAGTGTCTTCCTTAATCTTTCTTTGGAGATTTGAAGCTTTCTTTCTTCTTCTTTTTCTTTATTTTGTGTGTAGGGGATTGAGTAATAAATAGTTGTGAGCCACCATGTGGGTACTGGGAATCAAACCTGTGTCTTTTTTTTTTTTTTTTTTGGTTTTGGTTTTTTGAGACAGGGTTTCTCTGTGTAGTCCTGGCTGTCCCAGAACTTCTTCTGTACACAAGGCTGGTCTTGAACTCACAGAGATCTGCCTGCCTCTGCTTCTTGAGTGCTGGGATTAAAGGTGTACATCCCTACCATCTGGCTCCTGCAGCCCATGCTCTTAACTGCGGAGCCATCTCTCTAGTCCTGAGATCTAAAGCTCTCATTGGAGAGGTCTTTCACAGTCTTGGTTAGGTTTATTCAAAAATACTTTTTGGATGTTATTGTAAAATGGAAGTGCACCCATGACCTCTTCTTCGGCCTGTTTGTTGTTAGTAGCTATAGACAGCTCTGCTGATTTTTAAAGTTGACTTTGGGACTAACAAAAGACCCAGTACCAGGCACAAGAAACCTTCTTTGAAATGGCTGGTCAGGGTAGTCTAAGTGACTCCTGAAACATATAGATTATATACATAGCTCTGGTTTCCTCTCAAGGGTTGAGAGCAGACCTCCATTGCTGAAGAAACAAGACACAGGAATTGTGTGATTTGAATTGGAACTGACCCGACTGTCTCTTTCCTGTGACCTAGCTTCTGTGTTCCAGAAATTACTATGCAAGCTGCCAAGGGAGGAAGGTCATTAAACAGACCTACCCAGCTGTAACACCCATGATCCATGACAATGACCAGCATGGTAGGATGTCACAACTTTATGGGGTAAGAGGTGGCACTTACATGTCGGTGGCAACCAACAGCTTCTAATTGGACTTAAGGAGGGAAAGCATGCCTGGTGCTAGCCTGGCTCACTAGCCGTATTCTTGGGGCTCATAGAGTCAGGGACCTCAGATTAGACTCTACTACTGACACTTTGTCAGCGTAACTCCTGACCATATTCTAAATCTCATTTTTATATCCACAGATAAATGTGACTACCACCGAAGAAGCTTTTTCTAACTGCAATGGAGACTATCACAGAAAACTACGACTGGACACAAAGCAGATGCCACTAGATGTGGGTAGCCAAGTCTCAACATATACATCCACAGCACAGATCCTGCCTCTGAGGCTCAGGCAATACCATGGAAGACGGGGTGGGAAGACTGCAAGAGCCAGAGTACCAGGAAGTCTGCTGTGAGACACCCTCTCCTAGAAAAGGCTGCATATTTGAGTTAATACAGCCCTTCTCGGTTTTTCTCATAAACAAACCAACAAACGAAACTGTTCATAAAAGGATCCATTCTGAAGGTGAATCAAACAACAGGACTGAATAAAGATACACACATAAAAAGGCAGAGATCTGGATGATTCTATGCCAAACAGGAACTGTTTACACCATGATGGGTTCCCATCCACTACACAAGTATTGATGGACCACAGCATCATTGCGTAAAACCAGCATACGCCATGCAACGAGGGGTCCAAGGCTGTGAGGTTCAAATCAAACCAATGCGTATTCATTAAAAAAAGTCACAAGTCCAAAGTAGAAAAAAATATTACAGAATAGAAACTTTGCAGTTGTTTGAGATAGGCTGTCATGTAGCCAAGGCTGGCCTTGAACTACTGATACTCTTGCGCCTACCTCCAGATCTGGGTGTGACGACAGTATACTCCTATAACACCAATGCTGGGAAAGTGGAGGCACATGGTGAGATCCCAGACATGCCACCATGGACTCCTGAGTATAGTTATGTGCTCTTGTAGTTCACCTGTATGACCCAAATATCTGTTTTTAGATCATCACCCTACATCTTTGCTGCCTGGATTTGACACTGACCTAACTGAAAGTTTCAGGGTTGGCATCGGTGTTGTTGACAGATAATCCTGAGAGCTCAATCAAGTTCAGTCAGAAAAGCCCTGGGATGGCAAGCAGAGCCAGGAGGAGGAATTGACTGTTCTAAGGTAATACAGGAGGATAAAGGTAATACAGGAGGACGGGGAGGAAAGCATGATTCATGGGGGTAGGGTTGGGGGGGGGTTGGCAGGAAGGATGTGGATCTCAAAAACCTGCCCGTTTTTCTGCCTATTTCCATCTTTGGGTTGTAATCAGGGAGCATGCCATAAGCCAGCATATCACAGTGCCTGGCCATGGAGTAACTGTCTGTTTGCTCCGTGGCCAGACTTCATGGCCTCTCCCCAGATGGAAGATGGAAACTAGAAAAATTACCTGTAATAGTTCCACCGCGGCTGGTCTTTCCTGAGGTATTTTGTGCAAGCAGTAATCAACAAATCTCCTAAAGGAGTCGGTCCTGGGTGAGGGAACACACAGAGGAGAGCAGTGAGGGACAGGCAGCACACAGAAGGCAAAGTATATGGGAGAGAATGCGTTGCAACTTGGGAGACTGTGTATGTGCACGTAGTGTATGTTTGTATGCCCACTTGCACGTGTATGTATGTATAGAGGCTAGAGGTTGACATCAAATATCTCTCACGTCACCCTCCACCTTGGTTTTTTTGAGGCAGGGTCTCTCACTGAACCTGGAGCTCACTGATGTGGTTAGACTGGCTAGCCCTCCCTCTCTAGCTTCCCACACTGGGATTTTGGGAACCAGCTTTTGCATCGTTTCTGGGAATGGGGGTTACATCTTCTTGCATTCTCAGCCAGACTTTGCCGAATGGGCCGTCTCTCCAGCCAGGAGATTCCTTGTCATAAGACCTTTTGAAACAGCAGGAAACCTGGACCATTTTCAAGTTATAGCATTGAAAATTAATTCTTTTGAATAATGAGGTGGACACAGGCCCAAGCTAGTCATTACAGTCATACACATAAGTAGGCTAGGTCAAATCACAAAATAAAAACACTATACTTATGTGTAATAATTTAATATACATTTCCCCCCTCAAAGCTAACGCCATTCCTAATGTCCAGCCTGCATTCTTCATTCCCACTTTGCTAACTCCTCCACCACCCATAACCTCTAAGGTGTAAAACTAACAAGTACATGGGGGTAGAGGACCTGGGAATACACTTTGTGAATAAAGCCAAGTCCTCTCTTGGAGACTTCATTTGTGTCCACTCTTGTTAAGTGGCTCATTCTCTCTAACTCTTGTGGGCCCAATAGTTACAAACATGTCATGGTTTTCAGCCAAGAATGACACATCTGAATAGAGTAGTGTGTTCTGTTCTAGCCTGTTCTGATAGACACAGAGAGAAACAATGACATCAGTCAAAGCATCTCACATCTGCTAAGAACTGTAGATTAGATGGGATGAGCAGGACCCAAGGGATGAGGTGTGGGAGGGAGGCAGCAGGGTGCAGGTTACCAGTGTGTGTGCGCATGCGCATGCACATATACATACAAAGGTACACTGTTTATGGGGCATTTACTCTTTGTTGTGATGGAAGAATGCAGTGGTGTTTTAGGGCAGACGTGTAAAATGCAGTTTAGGAGGGTGTCAGATACCCACAGAGAGTTTCTTTGTGATATCTTACCATTCTCTGGACTGTAGCGTGGGGGAGTCATTCTGGGCGATGTGGTAGAGGGCGCTCATAGCGTTCATATTGAAGAGGGGGGGCTTCCGCTCCGCTGGAAGAGGAAGGAAGCATGGTAAGGCATTCTTGAAAGAAGGGCGGTAGGTAGCAAAATCAGGACTATCAATCAACGAGACCATCTGCTCTTGGTACTCTTAGGGTCAGCTCAGTTGAGCCATTTGCTGGCTTCTGGTCACTCACCATCCACCAGAAGGCTTCCAGCAGAGCCTGTTTCAGAATAATGGGAGGAAATGTTCTTATTTTTTCATAGGTTCTGCATAGATTGGTGTTGGCCTGTTTTCCAATGACAAGGTGTGAATATGTGTGTGTGTTTTAATTAAAAAATACATATTCATTAAATAAAATCAGAAAGCAAAGAAAAGTAGAACAAAAATATATTATTATGGAATAGAGGGCCCGGAGAGATGGCTCAGTGGTTAAGAGCACCGGCTGCTCTTACAGAGGACCCAGTTTTCAGCACCTACACGATGTCTCACAACCATCTATTAACTCTAGCTCAGGGGAATCTGATGCCCCCTTCTGGGCATTGCATGTACATGGTACAATAAACATGAAACAAGCAAAACTATTTATACATATAAAATAAATAAGTCTCTTTTAAAAAGAAAAAATACCGTTGTGGACTGGGACAGACATTTACTTATGTGTTTATTTAAAGCCAGAGTCTTTCTTAGCCCAGAGGCCAGCCTGTTTAAACAGTGAGTTCCAGCATAGCCAGGAATACATAGTGAGACCTTGTTTCCAAAATAGAGAGAGAAACAAATGAAATGTTTAAAAAAGAAAAGAAGGTGATGATTTGTTTTTAAACAAATATTTATTCCTCCATGGTCTCATAATGGAATAATCTTTGTATACTGTAAATATGTATTGCTGTCATTGCTAATAAAAAGCTGATTGGCTGGTAGCTGGGCAGGGAGAGAGTGGGTGAGACAGCCTGAGACAGAGAATGGTGGGATGAAAAGAGGGTTGAGTCAAGGGAGAGGACAGCCAGCCTAGAGGTAGCAGGATATGTAGAAAATGAGATAACAAGCCATAAACCATGTGACAAAGCTTAGATAAGAAATACGGGTTAAGGGGCTGGAGAGATGGCTCAGTGGTTAAGAGCACTGGCTGCTCTTTCAGAAGTCCTGAGTTCAATTCCTAGCAACCACATGGTGGCTCACAACCATCTGTAATGAGATCTGGTGCCCTCTTCTGGCCTGCAGGCAGAACACTGTATACATAGTAAATAAATAAATGAGTGTGTGTTTTTTTAAAACCTCTTAAAAAAAGAAATATGGGTTAATTTAAGTGTAAGAGTTAGGTAGCAGCAAACCTGAGCTATTGGCTGAGCATTTACAATTATTATAAGCCTCAGAGTGCATATTTGGGACCAGGTGGTTAGGACAGGAAACTTCTGCCAAAACACTTTCATTACAGTCCTCTGTGAGTCTTTGCTGAACGATGTCTGCAGATGCCTCTGGAATGGTCCTTTAGGGTCCTGCATGGATTTCTTCTTTCCCTCTGCCCCTTCCTTCTCGATCACCCTTCTCTCCAGGGTCTCCCACCCTTCTCTCTCCAGGATCTCCCACCCATCTCTTCAGGGTCTCTGGCATGGTCCTAGCTGGTTGGCCTCTCCTGTAGCTGAGATGACATGTATGCACCACCATGCTGGAGTAGACTGTTTACATGGATCAAGTGGTTGAAGCTGGTAGACAGTATTTGAACTGGTCTGAGCAGGAGCAGTGTGGACAAAGGTTTCAAACACAGAGAACACACAGAAGTGGTTTCGGGCTGTTTTTAAGGAAGTGGACTGAGGGAGTTTCTTGAGCATGGTCTTCTGGTGACGTCACGCTCTTAAAGCCACATGGAACTAGGAGCTCCTGCGGACACAGTGGCTTCCCATTCCTTCTAACACTAAGTTCAGACCACTGAGAAGCCTGCAAACCTCCGTCAGCCTTCCCTGCTCCGAGAATATCACAGGGCTCATTCTCCTCTCTTGAGCCATCTCTGGCTTCAGTGAGGCAATCAGGCACAGGCCATTTCACATGGATGCTTTCGGTCGAGATTTTAACCTTATCAGGTTAATTCCTTTAAATAATATTTTAATTAAAAATTTTTTTAGTGATGAAGTTTTCCTCTTGCTCAGGCTGGTCTGAAATTCCTGGGCTGAATAGTCCTCCTGTCTGTCTCCTGTGTAGCTAAGAATATGTATGTTCCTGTCTCAGCTCTGGCTAATTCTTAACAACCCTGTTGTGGTTTGAAAATGAAATGCCCCCACAGGCTCATGAATGAATGAAAAAGAAGAAATCCAAAGGAAAGGAAAGGACATGGCCGCTCCTAGGTGTGGTGGAGGAGAAAGTTGATGTAGATACAAGGGAGAGCCCAGGCAGAGACTGGGAGAGTCTAGAGTGGACATGACCAGACTGAGCTGGATCGTGTGTGGAGAGGGGGAGGGCAGGGGAGAAGGGAAAGAGAGGACCAGGTACAGCAGCCAGGAGGCCCAAAGGTACAAAGACAGCAGGAAAACAATATGTCTGAATTATATAGGGAAGAGCTCCCAGGGGAAAGGCAGCCTAGTCCCTGGGCTGGAGAGTTCAGGGTAGAAGATGGGGTATGCCAGTCATACCCTGTGTCAGGTAGGGACTGAGGGATGCTGGGAGAACCCCTAGGCCAGGTCTGCTTTGATATGTTAAGTGGTATACTTGAACACTGGGTCCCTCAGCTGGTGGTGTTCTAGAACGTGGTGGAACCCCCTGGAGGTGGAATCTCGCTGTAAGAAGTGAATCACCAAGAGTAGGGTTTGGACAAGTAACTAGCCGGCTTAAGTGCCATGCCATTCCAGCCAGGATGGACTGTATCCTCTCAAACTGTGAGCACAAAACAAACCTTGCTCCCTTATGTTGTTTCTTGTCAGGTATTTGGTCACAGTAGTGAGAAAAGTAACTAATGTGAACTCATTTTGCTTTTGCAGTAATTTAAAACATATTTACTAAGGGCTCATGCTATGCGAATGGTCACTTCCTCAGGGAAGCCTTCTGTGACTTTTGTCACTGCAGACTATATCTTTGCTGCTTTTTCTTTTGGCCACATATCACAACTCTCATTATTTTGTGTCCCTTACTAAGTGTACGTCTGAACTTCACAGAGACAGTGTGGATGTTTATGGTGTTCATTTTGTTCCTTTCTCTTTTCAGGGACGAGGACTCGCCTTGGGAGGTAGTCCCCACAAAACAGCTAAACAAATTAATAAAGGAAAACCTAAGGCAGACAACCGTATCCACAAAGAATCTTTGTGTGGGCTGCTGAGATGGTTCAGCATCCGAAGTGACTGCTGCTAACCCTGAGGACCGGAGTTTGGTCCATACGGTGTAAGAAGAGACATGACTCTGGCAAGCTGCTTTTCCTCCACTCACGTGCCACGGAACTCCCGTGTACCTTATTCACCCCCCACAGACAGATAGATAAGTATTTATTTATCTATATTAAAATTATTAAAAATACTAAAAAATAATCTTTGTGTAGCAAACAGGCACAGAAAAATGATGAAAAGAGACCAAGGCCTTTGGGCTTATATCAGACACCATGTGATGGGCTCACCCTAAGAGGAATAAGGTAACTCTCATTCCTAGCAAAATGCAAAACAATTCAAGCTGTTCAGAGGAACAGTGACTTGCATAGGGGAAGCAGTGAAAGGGGACCAGATAAAGAATACAGAAGTTTAGAAAGAGGATGTTGGGGCTGGGGATGGAGACCAGTTGATAGAGTGCTTGCCAACCATGGTTCAATCCCCACACTGTACAAATCAGGTGCGGGGGAGCATGTTTGTAATCCCAGCACTTGGGAGGTAGAAACAGGAGGATCAGAAGTTCAAAGTCATCCTGTATTACTTAGTGATTTCGAGGCCAGCCTGGGCTATATGAGACCCAGTCTTGGAAGAGAAAACTGAAACCAAAACTCAGCATTAGTGTAGACAGTAGCAACTCAGACTTGAAGCCTAAATGGGGGCCCAGGAGGAACAAGCTATGTGTCTGGGGACAAGCCATGGTAGCCAGTTCTCAGCTGGTGGGGAAATCGCTACAGTAGAGAAGCCAGAGCCTGGGACCACCCTCCAAACACTGGATTTGAAAGGTCTGGTCTATGTGTGAATTATTTACTAGATGAACTGCCCCTGAGTCAGCTGAGCCTGCTGCTAAGGGCTGTAATCTCAGCACTGGGAGGGCTAAAGCAAGAAGATGTCAAGTTCTAGAACAGCCTGGGCTGCACAGCAAGCAAGCAAGTGAGCAAGGAAAACCAGCCTCAAAGCCACAGTGACAGGGCTTGTCTCTAAGACAGAACATCACAGAGCCAAGGCCAGAGACAGCCAGCAGCCCACTTCTGTGTAATGAGGTATTTTCCACAGGTGTTTCCTGTTCCAGTGGGGAAGGTACAAGCAGTGCAGACATACACAGCAGGGCCTGCAGAGTCTAGAACATTTATCATCTGGTCCTTTCCAGGGAGTTCATCACCGCATTGGAGGAGCACAGCAGGTAGCATACATCTGTACACAGTGCACAAGAAAGGACTGGGGGGACCTGTGACAAGGGTTTCTGTGTGTGTATGGTGTTCACATGTGTGTACTTGCATGTGTGTCAGCATGTGTATGGCATATATGGGTTTTCATGTGTGGTCTGCACGTGAGTAGATATGCGCATATTTGCATATGTGTGGGTACACATGCGTGTACATGCAGTCTTCCTTGACCTTGAGCTACAGAGTCTCTCACTTGAACCCAAAGCTCACTGACTCAGTTAGTCTAGCCAGCCAGGTTGCTCCAGAGGTCACCTGCTAGCTTCTCCCAAGTTCTGGGATTACAAGTGGGTAGTATGTCTGAACCTGGGGATTTACACTTGGTTTTTATGCAGTGCAGGAAGCATTTTATCTACCAAACTGACTTTCTAGCCCAGAATCCATATTTTCTTAAATGAAAGGAAAGGACAAAAGAATAGAAAAGCTAATCTTGCTGCAATATATATATATATATATATATATATATATATATCCTGTTTAACTGAAAGACAATAGTTTTATCTTTGTGGATGCACCATCTGTGCCAACCAAGGTCAGAGATTAGAGAGGTCAGTTTAGTGTATCACTGTTAACAGCTCTACCTAGATGTGCTAAATTAGATCAGTAGGATATACTCTGAACTAGTGGGCTGTACTCTATTTGAGAAAGAGGGGTGACCCAAAGGCACCCACTCTTGAATAAGCGCTTTTTGAAAATCAAAGTTGTCTTGTGAACAAATATGGTTGGCAGCCCTAGCTGCAAAGGAATACGAACCACTATGAGTTGCTTAGTTCCTGTCCTATGCCTGGTACTCATAGCATCGGGCATGGCCCTGACGCCATTCATCACACCCACCAGAGCCTGGCAGCTAAGTATACACTCTAGTTTCCTAAGGGAAGAAACTGAGGTACAGGTAGGCTCAATGCTGAAATGGGTGACAGAGTGGTGGTCACTCCGGAAACCCAGGAGCCTCCCAGCTGCTGGGTCATGTGCACAGCACTGTGCTTGATGTGTGGGAGCATGTGTCCAGGTGTACAAATAAACGCCAAGTGAGCACAGGTGCCTGCTGAGGCCAGGAGAGGGCATGGGATTCCCTGGAGCTGGTTGTGAGCTGCTCAATGTGGTTGTTGGGAACAGAATTCAGGTACTCTGTAAGGTAGCAAGTGGCCTTAAACCCTTCCTGAGCTATCTCTCCAACCCCCTGATTTAAATGTTTTGATTTATAAACGATGTAGATATGTGACCTCATTGAAAAAAATAAGCAAATACTCTAATCCTGCCCCTCGAGTCATTTTCTTTTCACTAAAGAGAGACAGACAGATCATGTATCTGGGCTCTTCTGTTGGAAGAGGTAAATACAATGACGGGGAACAGTGTGAGCGTCTCATGTCTCTTCTACAGGACAAACTTCAGGAATTCTGATGCGGAGACCAGGAAAAAAGAATATAAATTAAAAGAGACATATATCTTAAAAACTAGACAAAGACTTTTCAGAAATGTTTTAAGTTTCCAGATAAGGCAGATTAAACCTGGGCCAGCTTACCCCAGCTTAGGAAGGCTAACAGGCCCCTCTTATTCTCAGGTCCAGGTTCAAATATGCAACCAGGAAAACCAATGGTATTTTAGATAGTTTTAGGTTATAAATATTTGGGGACAACTTTTAAGATTTGTGTGGCGCTTGTGTGTGTGTGTGTGTGTGTGTGTGTGTGTGTGTTACCCAAGGAGGCCAAAAGATGGCATCAAATCCCCTTGGATCTGGAGTGACAAGTGGTTGTGAGTCACACAGTATGGGTTCTGGGAACCAACTCAGGTTGTCTGAAGAATAACAAGTGCTCTTAGCCACTAAGCATCTCTCCAGTCCCTGAGGGACAACTGTCAGGCTAGTGCATCTTTTACTATGACATTTCCCTTAAGGCTCCACTGTCAGGTCAGAAAACAATGTCAAGGACATATTGTAAAGACAGGACATGCAGCATCACACAAAGTCAGGGGTGTTTCTCAAATATGAGCACATACTGGCTTGCTTTTCACAGAGACATAGTAGAGAAGGAACAATCTTCTGTGGTATGTAAGAACATGGGAAATATCTACAACAAATTCACATTCCCTGGCTTTGTGCAGCTGTCAGTCACTGAATAGCATAGTGGGGACCAGTTTGCAAAGATCCAAAGAAAACTACTCTTCACTCACCCAGTTCTATACAGGTGATGCCGAGCGACCAGATGTCAACTTTCCCATCGTACTTTCCTTCATCCATGGCTAAGATCACCTCTGGGGCCATCCTGCCAAATACAATGTGCAGAACTCAAGTTGTTAGTAGAAACAAAATTTCCATTATAAAACTACTTGGGACAGTAGATTTAAGAGTATTTGGAAATATTTTTAAGGGTACATCAAAGTTTTGTCTTTCCTTTGTTTTCTGGGAACCAAGCCTCAGTCCTCTGCAAGAATAGCAAGTGCTTTTAACTGCTGAGCCATCTCTCCAGCCCTCGCTTAAAGTTTTCAGTGCTTGTTGCAGTGTTATTTGTAGAAGCTATGGAATGAAACTAACCTAGACCATCAACAGATGAGTAGGTAAGGAAAACGTGGTTCAGGTACACGATGGCGGCATCTGTGATGTGTTGGTTTGAATAAAAATGGTTCCTGTAGGCTCATATGCTTGAATACATTGTCCCCAGCTGGTGGAACCATTTGGGAAGCATTAAAAGGTATGGCCTTGTTGGAGGAGGTGTGTCAATGGTAGACTTTGAGGTTTCAATTGACTCCTGCCATTCCTAGCGTCTTTCTCCGCCTCATGGTTATGCCTTAAGATGTGAACTCTCAACTGTCCCTGCTACCAAGCTTGCCTGCCTCCTGACATGCTCCCTGCCCTGATAGTCACAGGATATAACCCTCTGAAATTAAAGCCCCAAGTTAAAACACTTTTAAAAAAAGTAAGTCACCTTGGTCATGGTGTTTTATCACAGCAATAGAAATGTAACTAAGATGTGGGACAGACCTGAAGATCATCTTGTAGTGATATTTTGTTTGTAATCAAACAACTAAACCTTGCCTGAAGATCAGAGTGCAGAGCTAAGCCACTAGTTAGCCACACACCTAAGCTACTAGTTAGCCATAAAGGATAGGCCATGGTGGCTACACCTTTAATCCCAGTATTTGGGAAACAGGGGCAGATGGATCTCTGTGAGTTCAAGGCCACCCTGGGCTATATGAGAGTGAATCAGTGTGAAAGAGAAACAGAGCTCACACCTTTGATCCCAGCACTTGGGATGACACGCCTTTAATACCAGCACTAGAGAGGAATATAAGGCAGGAGCTCAGTGCAGTCTCAGGACAGTCTGAGGTTTAGTGGAGAGACTCGCAGTCTGCAGTCCCATTGAGGACAGGATTGCCCATCTTTGGTCTGGGCGTTGGTAGAGGTAAAACTCTCTAGTGGCTTGGCTGTTTTGCTTTTCTGATCTTCAGCTTGAACTCCAGTATCTGTCTCTGAGTTTTTTATTATTAAGACCAATTAGAATCCATACTACATATCATGTTAAGGGAAATAAGCCAGACTTAGATAAATAAAGGAGAGAAGGAGGGAGGGAGGGATGAGGGAGGAAGAAAAGCAGAAAGGGGACTATACTGTTGAGGGGAGCCCATGGGGTGGCAAATGGATGAATTTGAACAAAGTATAAAACATGACATAGATCTGAGAAAATATTGTATAACCTATTATTTTATACAGCAGCTAAAAAATAATTTTAAAAAATTGGCTGGGGGTTGGTGGCACACGCCTTTAATCCTAGCACTTGGGAGGCAGAGGCAGGTGGAACTCTGTGAGTTCGAGGCCAGCCTGGTCTACAGAGCAAGTGCCGGGATAGGTTTCAAAGCTACACAGAGAAACCTTTTCTCGAAAAAACAA